GAAAGGGCAGAGGGTGGAAGGTAAACCAAGGCTGTCTGCTACAGTGCCCCCGCCCGCCCACCCCAAATAAATGTCTGCGCACGTGCACACACCATGCTATTGTGCTCCAACATCCTTTTATTCTTACACAATCCAGATGTAACCACCCCTAGGGTCCCCAGCCCTGTTTTCTTGAGCTGCTAAATCTCCATGGCCTGGCCCCGGCACCCCCTCTGCAGGTCCACCTTGCCATCAGCAAACGGTCTGCACCTTCCAATAGGCGAAGCTTTGAAAGTATACTCTTTCCTTTAACATAATCAAATTCTTGGCAGACTCGGTCTCAATCGCTGTTGATTGTGGTTTTAAATTATAAGTGTTTTATCTTGGCAAAAGTCATCTCTCTGTGGCTGCAAATTTTCAAACACCTTTTGTGCCTAAAAGGTTAAATGTGGCGACTCTCTTCTCAGCCCAGTCATCAACGCATATGCAATTTCTGTGTCTGGATGCACATCCCCAGGCGCTGGGGGCTAGAGGTAAAGAGAGAGGCACCATCTTGGGTTGACTGTGTTTATTTTACATTGAGAAGAGGCTCAGTTATGAAATTTGTGCTTAGGACTTAAGAATGTCTGTGTGTGCTAAGATGGCTCATTTTTCAAAATCGTGCAGTCTCGGCAGAGGCTGCTGGGAGTCCCCCAACTCCTCCTCTCCTGTGCTGAGAGAGCCTTGACTGGACACGTGGGCACCTGACTAGGGACTCAGTCTCCCAGCCTCCTTTGCAGCCGGCGTGATCATGTGACTCATCCCCCAGCCTCCTTTGCAGCTGGCGTGATCATGTGACTGGGCTCTGGACCAGGGAAGACCTGGAAAGACCAGCGGAGTGTGGATGTGCCTGCACACTTTCGTCTCCTGAGGAGCCAGGACACAGACCTGGCTGCGGCCTGCACTGACCACAGAGATGAGGACGATGCCCCAGGGACAGTGCACACTGAGATGGGTGGAGCCTGAGTCCCGAACAACCCGGTGGGTAGGGAGCCCACCTCACAGCTGGACTTCCGTGAGAGTGGGCGGGGTTATTTTTTAAAGTTAGCGCTGGGGGGTTGGTTACAGCAGCTCTGCCTATTTCCCCTAGCCCACTGCCTCCCTCCCGCCTGCATCCCTGCATTCCCGTTTCCGCCACCCAGCTGTCTGTGGACCTTAGAACCACCAAGAACAGTGGGGTGTGACCTCAGGCTGTTTCTCCAGCCAGGGAGTAGGGTGGCACCACCCACCCATCCCTTCCCCTAGCAGCCCAGGGAGGCTGACTCACAGCCCTGGGAGCATTTTGAGCGGAATGGTCATTTCAGGCCATCGAGTCCATGCTCCTGGCTTCAGTAGCTGTTGTGTCCTTGTCAGCCGACCCTAAAATCTTACAAGCACATGAAGACAAGGAAAGGACAGGACAGCCAGTTTCTGAAACACATTTTTACCCTTTTGCCCCAAGCGGACAAAGCTGGGACGTAAGCAGGTTGACAACACTACTCCAGCGATTACTGCCCCGGTATATCCAGCCCAGGCGTGGGACTAGATCCTCATATACATTATGTCATGTGTTCCTCTCGGGGGCCTCTGGCTGGGAGTGTCTCCCTCATTTAGGAGGCCAGGACGCTGGACACGGAGTCACTTGCTGGAGGCAAGGCTGCTGACCGTGTGAGCAAGGGGAACATAGCAACGTCGGAAATACTTAACATGGCAGATTTTTAGTCCCCCCAAAAAGCGTGTACTGTAAATCATGTCAGGGGAAACTACGCCAGGGCTCAGAGTAGCCAAGTAGGAATTGATCTAGATTTTGCTTTTCATCTTGGTTGTCAGAATGTCCTAGAGAACCTTTGCCTTTATTTCACCCCAACAGCAGGGGGCCAAGATTCATGATGACAAGGTAGTGGATTTTCCCAGGTGGTGAGAATTAGAATGACACTTCTGACACTTACTGTGTCTCGTTTTCTGAGGCAAGGCTCTCCCACGGGCCGTCACCACCACAGTCACTGCCCAGGACCCCACAGAAACAATTCAGCGCCCAGGGTTTGGGGGAAGTCCAGGGCCAGAGAGAAGATGAAAACATAATACAGAGAAGCAGTGGTCGCCCTGCGCCTGGGAAGGAGACAAGAACTTGCTATTTATGTAGTATTTTAAGAAGTTCCTTGAAGGCCTAGCGAGGCTGGAGAGAATCAGGAAGTTGGCAGAGTGAAAGTCAGAGGTGAAACTAACTGTCTGGAATTACCTAGCAGGGTGGGGAGCTTTTAAAAATGTGGACGCCTTGCTGTGACCCTCCCACTGCCCAATCTCCCATTGTCATCAGTAATGCCCTTTAGTCATTGCAGCTCAGCTAGTGGCTTACAGGTTCTGGACTAGACTTCCCAAAGTGGGTGTATCTTAGGGGGTGTCCGACCCCAGATTCTTGGTGTACTAGTCATGGCTCTGGCGCTGATTTTGGCAAGAAACACAGTCTTATACACCGAAAGAGGAATAATACTTTACTTAAAATATATACAAAATTATTACTTTGAAACATATATATTACTATCCAACATACATCAAATAACACTGATTGATGTAAATTTTGGTACCTTCATTCGTTCAGTTTTGTGATTTCTCTTTTACACGAGGCTCCTATAGAATGTTCTCTTAAATGCCCACCGGAGGGGAGGTGCCCAGAGGCCTGGTCCCCGTGGTGGTCTGGCTGTGCCCTTGGACACCACTGAGGCTGTGCAACTCTGCCTCGTGGCAGGCACTCGCGACACAGAAGTGAGGGGACCCACCTCAATCAATCACATGCCATTGACCATCTTCAACCAATCTCTGTGTCTCTTCTCTCTTGTCTGTCTCCCTCTCCTCTCTCTCTGTCCCCCTCACTCTAGGTATACAGTGGTCTGGGGGGTCTGGGCCTGGGTGTAAAAGGAGGGTGAAGTTGGTGAGAAAAAGTGACAATTACTGGGGGCTTCCCTGGTGGCGCAGTGGTTGGGAGTCCGCCTGACGATGCAGCGGACGCGGGTTCGTGCCCCGGTCCGGGAGGATCCCCCATGCCGCGGAGCGGCTGGGCCCGTGAGCCACGGCCGCTGAGCCTGCGCGTCCGGAGCCTGTGCTCCAGCAACCGGAGAGGCCACAGCAGTGAGAGGCCCGCGTACCGCAAAAAAAAAAAAAAAAAAAAAAA